CATGTCTGTAAAATACTCCTTTCCACCAAATTCTAGACATGAACCACATTTTCCATTATATAAATACCATGGTACGCCCCGTATTAGGAAAACAAAGGGTACCCATTCCACGTGACAAATATATTTTTAGATAACATACATATATGTAAAGTATTTTATATATATATATATATACAAATTATCATATTAATATCCAAGTTTAGTATTTATTGTAGTATGATTCCTAATTTTTTTTTATTATAATGTTGATTAATTAATTAAATTAATAAAAGTATTAGACTTATTTTTTTTTACTATTCTTAATTTATTAATTTAATTAATCAAAATTATTATTTTTTTAAACTGTTTTATAAAGTGTACCAAGGTGACCTAATTATTTTAAACATTTTTCATTAAATAATGGAATAAAATTGGACATTTAAAACAATGAAACATATTAAAAAGTAAATTGTAATGAAAGAATATTATGGATCAAATTATATTAGTTATCTACATGTTAATTTTTAAATTGATGAAAACGTAAGAAATCAAAGTATTTTGGCCATCTCTTATTAGTTGATCCATAAATAAATTGATTAAAAATTTTTATGGTAAAGTAAATCATTGATTCATCTAGTGTTTAAATATATAATTTATTTATAAGTTTACTAGATTGAAAATTAATGATATTTAAAAATTTATAGATTATATATTACATTTAATAAAAATTTATAATACATGAATATGATGTACTCAATGTATCTAAGCATACCCTACATATATATTAGAAATGATACCTCGGGACGAATGTAAAAATAAGTAAATTGCTTTTGCTCCAAGAACATATGACTATATTAGGTGTAAGAGATGTGAATCCACATGTCTAGTGGATTTCTTGAGTGTTCGAGTTTATTTAGGGCATGAAACAACTCGAAGTATGGTAAGTTGTGAAGCAAAATAGAAAAGTGTGCAGATAAATGGAAGTATGAGAGAAAGAAAAAAAATATATCAATGATATATGATTCCAATATGTAAGGTCTATGAGATCATTTCCTAAAAGGTAATATAATAAAGCATCAATATAAATTCATGCATAATTATATAAATCTATTCATAAAACTATAAAAAATGAAAGAGTCTTGAGCTAATAAAAACTAAGAAGATTGACTGAAGAACAAATTAAAAAATTTTATTAGAGATTCTGTTATATAATTCAGATTTAAATATTATTCAATAAGCGATGGAAATGACATAACCCATGAATACATAAGATTCTGCTGCAAATTTTGAAGACTTTTGATATCATAAATACATAACAAAAATATATTAAGACAATAATTTCAAAATTTCAAAGCGAAACTATATGTTTTTTCGTGGTATTAGAGTTATTAAAATAACAATCATGGTAAAGTTAGTCCTTAATTGTAAATGTCTCAAACTATTGGGATTAATGTTTAGTGTAGCCTATTTTTAGTGATTTCTTCGCCTTCTTCACATGCCCATTGTCATTTGTTCTTTCTTTATTTAATTATAAAATTTCTTTGGATATATCAATGTTATAAACTTGAATATACTAAAAATTATCTTATCTAAAATAATTCAAATCAAGAAGTCCCCAATCATGCACTTATATGATTAGTTCAAGAAAGATGATATGTTTTTACATACTTTGATTCTTTCCTCTTTAATTAAAGAGGTATTTTTATAAATTGTTGCTTTAACAACTTCTTTTGAAACTGAGAATGTTGGCCATCATGA